CGTCGGCCAGGAGGTCAAGTCGCCTGCTCTTCTCTCCGCCGGTAACACCGTCTCCCGCATCGCCTTCGGTATCGCGCTCCCTGTCATCTTCATCTCCGGATCCATCAACGGCACCGTCGTCTGCCGCTACATCATGGACCGCATCTTCCCCACTTCGCCCATCCGCTTCGTCAAGGACGTCAAGGGCTGGGGTGTCTGGGTCGGACTTATCACCGTTGTCACCGTCATCGGATGGATCATCGCCGAGGCTATCCCCTTCTTCAACGCCCTCCTCGGTCTCATCTCCTCCCTCTTCATCTCCGGATTCACATTCTACTGGCCCGCACTCTTCTGGTTCCAGCTCGTCAAGGAGGGCAAGTGGAACGCCAACGCCAAGAACATCTCCTTGAGCATCCTCAACTCCATTGTCTTCGTCATTGGACTTGTGGTTCTCGGTGCCGGTACCTACGCGTCCGTCGAGGATATCATCACACAGTACAACTCCGGTGCTGTACGAAGTCCCTTCACGTGCTCTGCCCAGTCTTACGCATAGTTGGGTGATGAGAACATGTATATATACCAAGAAGCCCTTGTATAGGCGCTTCGCTTATTACGACTTATGAGTCTAGCATCAGCATAGCGATGTCAAATCAAATTTCACATATTCAATCATCTTTTCTCATGTCCACAGTGTTTGCATCTCATCGATGCTATCCGGAAATGGATCCGCTCCACCTGCGCCGCGCCATCCCACCCAGGGAAAACACTCAACATTCACCTCTCAGAAGTCTACATTGGGTCGATCTTGGGATTTTTAACTGATGTATACAGCAAGGCACCTCAAGACTTTTCTTCCCCTGCCCGAGGCGGCGCCGATGTTTTGTTTACCCTGGCTAATAATTTGCGGAGTAGATCAGTGGGAAAGAGACTATCTACAGAAGACATCACAAGTAGGGAATCACCGAGAAGAATGATGCGCGCGCTTTTCCTTTCACTCCACTATACAAACAGCGCTCCTTTGTGTTTTCACTCCAAGGCTTTCACGGTAGTGTTTGCGCACTAGTACGAATAGAGACTAGTGCCGCGGATGACGCAGCCCAGACGTGCTGCTGCGCACCTGCTCAGGTGATAAACTTTGGTACGTATACCTAGGAACCGCTCACCTCCGGAATACGCAACAGTCATTTCACTCACGGCCACAGTCGCAACCAGCATTACTATGGAGGACATAAGATCTACGCTCTCTACACTTCGCCTTGGGCCCAATCCCACACACGTAACCGACGATATCATGCCGAAAAGACAACGCGATAGCGACGACGAATCTGCTCGGAATGACGGCGTTGGGCCTAAGAGGCAACACGGGAGTGAAGTCATTACACCTGAACCGCAGCCTTCCGACCTCATCGCCGCTCTCCATGAGTTCATACAAGAAGAGCGCAGGACCAACTTCTCATTCTTATCACAGCACAGCCACTGCCACACGCATCAACATGGGCTACTTGTAGTATCTCAGGCGGATACCGAGGATATCGAAGCGGTACGTGCCATTGTTAGGCACGACACAAGTGTCCATCATGACTGGTATACCTTCACCGAGCCGCTGAGGCCGGACGGCTACACCCGTACCGTTGCGATCGATATCCCATCCGCGAAATGTGTTCCTGAAGACATGATCATCACCGAGTTTGGCAGGATCAGGAAAACCAAGCGCGACGCAGCTGCATGGATCCGCGATACGTACTGCACTGCCGAAGACGACATGTGGGCGATGAGGCTCCCGGAATCGCAGTACGAGGAGCAGCGCTTGTGGTGGGAAGGTACAGGGCAAGCTTTCCGGCTGCTGGACCTACCTCTAGAGATGCGCGAAGTCGTCTACCTACACGTCATCGGGCCAGTCGTCGTTCCGGATGTCGTTACACAGCATGGCGGCGCGGAGAAGCTTGTGCTCGGATATGGCCTGTCGTACGATAATCCCGAGCGCGTAGGGCGCAATCGAGATCCCAATATACAGCGTCCTAATATGGAGATCATGCGCGTCAGTCGCCAGGTAAAGGATGAGGCCACCCAAGTCGCCAACCGCGATACTGTGAAGCGATTCACAACGATTCGTACGCGTGGGGACGGAATTGGGCCCGCCGCGTCACCTGAAAAGATCTGGCGCCAACTCAGGCGAATAGTAACGCCTGATAACTTCCTGAAGAGGCTTCAACTCGAGATGTCTGCAACTGAGTTCTTGGCATTCGGGGGCATTTGTCCGCAACTGGGACAACCGCTTCAGAGGGGCGTTGTTCCAATTAACGTTATTTCTATGGCTGGGTTAGGAAACCTCGATATCATCGATTTTCGCTTCATTGGTCCTGAACATGAGCTTGCCAACTGCCCTTGGAAACCGCTTCATCCATGCCAAAAGAAGTGGATTGACATATTTTTTATCACCGCCTGGAGTGGTCTTGTCGCTCTCAGGAATACAAAAGGAATCAAGTATACAATGAGCGGTTGCATCAAAGATTCTACCCGGAATTACTGGACGGGGCTACTGAACGACAAGCGCAATGATCATACTGCCGGTATACGCATTCTCGAACAGGATCTTCAGATCGCCATAACGAACAGTAAGTAGCGCTATAAAGGCATGTGAAATACGTACTGACTAACAATTAGATACCTCGCTCACATGCGAATGCTCCAACCCATGTGTAGGCGGACCGCGCTTGTTCCGGGTCCAGCCACACGAAATGAGATTGATCGAAGGCATACAGGCGGAGCTGGATAAGGCATATTGGGATTTCGAGGACTGAGCTGGGTTTGCTGAATACCGAGCAGGACGCGCGGCCCATGAGCAGAGGATTAGCAACAATGAGCATTTATAACGCGCAGACACGGATCACATCTCTGCTCCTGTGACTGTATGGTTTCTCGGTCGTGCACGTCTTGCGTGCATTGTTGCCGGCGAGTGGTGTTTGGATAGCAGACCATCCATGGATCCGTGGATTAGATTTCGTGATGAACTACGTCATCATCTAGCCTCAGATGGTTAGCCGTCGAAACTGATCACGTGCCGTTCCTGAACCCGCGGCCTGTCGCGAACACCTCCGCATGACTTTCGACGCGTCCTCCGCTCGTCTCCTTCAATGGCTGAACCCGCGACCTGACCTGCGCCCCGACGCCGACATGTCACAATTTTGTCGCGTTACGCGTTACGCGATGCGCAAAGCAATGTAGTCGCCCTGCATCAGATTCGTTTCCATCAGCGAGCGCCGCACGAGGCTGCCCGGCACTTATACGCTGTGCCACGAGATGGATCCACATTGTTGTTCGAAGGCATATCCACAACAGAGAGTGGCTCAGGCGTGATCGGTGCTGCGCGCAAGTCAATTGCACGCTCGGCAATCTATGGTGATGCCGTGAGAAGTACCCAGCGCATGAGATGCGGCGCAGCAAGTGTGCAACTTACATCTTCTAGCTTGGGCGGACCTGCTCTGCCGTAGTTTGGTCTAGAAGTAGGAAGTCACTGCTTTCTACGATCTTCCCAATCTCTCAAAGGATCTCTTTTAGGCTCGCCCGAACACCTTGTCTTCTCAGCCTTGACGATGTTGGTGATAGCCTGGGCAATCTCTCGTATGCTTGCGCGGCTCTTTCTGCGGCATCTTCTAAGCTTGCCTCGTCGTAATTCAACTTTCGATATGCGACGCTGGTCTCCTTCAGAATGCTCGCATCGTCGCCCTGGCACATGCCAGTGAACGTTGGAGATGACGGAGCACTCGAAAACGCACAGCGTAAAGCTCAGGAAAGGATACCGCGCTCACACCCCCCAACTTGTTGGCAATGGTATGTTTTACCCTGATTTCAGACGCGCCGAGGATCAACAAGCTCCACGTTGCAGCCTTAGGAAAGAGCTTAGCCTTCTTGGTTTAGTGCGGCGAGCAAACATGCTGCGGCGGGCGCAGCATACGAAAGAGCTAGATAATGGTGTTCGGTTCGAGCGCATGCGCGACTTGTGTCCTCGTATCTTCGGCGAGACTTGCGTGCCATTTACCTTCTTCGAGCTGGGCTGGACTTGTTCACGAGACCTTTCCACACTGCGCAGATCTCTCCGCGGTACCGCCTAAGCCATGAGGTAGAGGGGATGCTGCTTCACACGCTCGGAGAGAGTGGCGACTATCGGCGCATCACAGGGTCTGGGAGGGCTGATCACATCCATAGCTCAGACGTCCTTCTGCACACTGTGGATGAAGAACGCGGTCATCACTTTAGCTCCACAGCGCTTGCGATGTCAAAGAAGAAGCTAGAGCACGATCCCTCACCCATTCCTCAGCAGCGCTAGTATGCTCTTGCCATCCCCTCCCTCGATCACACCCTCTGATAGGGCAACCCGGAATTCAATACTCCAATTCACGCACAATGTTCACGCCACCGATGCACGCATGCTTCTCGACCTTCCTCTGCATGTCATTCATTGGTCTTTCGGTCCGCATCCGTGGCACTTCCGTTCCCAAAACCAGGTTATTCAAGTCCGGTCTCGATCCTTGAATCGTGGTTCGTCCCGCGCGTGCAGCATGCGAGCTACATTGGTGGACCCTGACCGCTAATGATTGGACCGGCTGATGTCGTGCATGACTATGGCTTACACTCGCTTTCAGAACTTCCTCTTCGATGGAAAGATGGTATCCGGTGGGCATAAGATTATTCAGTGGCTTGCGGACTTCAGCGAGAGTTAGCGAAGCGTTGATGAGTATGGTTGGTTGCTGGCTCATGGAAAGATCTACGCGTGTCTGCGACGTCGGATTATGGTAATACGCCGCAACGACTAGTAGAAGACAGGTAAACGGAAGGGCGGAGCATCCAAATGTGACAGGTTGTTGCGAGGAGGAGTGGTCGCTTGTCGGATGTGGAGGCGAAACCATAAGAGATGGACGATCAGAGCACCAAGAAAGGTACATAAGGAACGCGCACCTGCTTCATATCCTCCTCATCCATCAACAACCCACCTCAGCTCCGACTCACATCCATCGCTCAGCATGTTGTTCTCCACTGCCGCTCTTCTTCTCCTCTCTTCGACTGCGCTCGCCGCGCCCGCTACCCTCCTACCCCGCGCCGCTCAGTGTGGCCAATACCAATCTCAGTCATCCGGCCCATACACGCTCTACACCAATGGATGGGGATTCTCTTCCGGAACCGGCTCTCAGTGCTCTCAGATTGACAGCTATAGCAGCACAGCTGGCTTAGCCTGGTCAACAACATGGTCATGGTCTGGCACGCCCAACCAAGTCAAGAGCTACACAAATGTCGAGACGGGCTTTACGAAGAAGCAAATCGGTACTTACACAAGTATGCCGACGACGTGGAAGTGGAGTTACACTGGAACCGATCTGCGGGTCAATGGTATGCTTCTCATGTCTCTTCTCATGCACTCTCTTCGTTTCTGGGATATGTAGGCTAACCTCGATGTGCTATCTCGCAGTGGCCTACGACACCTTCCTCGGCGCATCAGCCAGCGGCACCAATCTCTTCGAAGTCATGGTCTGGCTCGGTGTCTACGGCGGCGTATCACCCTTGTCCGCAAACGGATATCCATTCACGCCCATCGCGACCGTCACTATTGGCGGTCAGATCTTCGATCTCGCATACGGTCTAAACGGTTCGGTCAAGGTATACAGTTTTGTTGCTCGTGGTGGACGGGCGACGAACTTCAGCGCCGACTTGGTACGTTGCATGAGTCTACTTTGTGGGGATGATAGGGAAGCTAATGCGTCGATGTAGAACCTGTTCTTCCAGTACTTGTTGGCAAACTACGGGAGCAATGGTTTCACGAGTAGTTTGTATCTGCAGGTCGTGCAGGCGGGTACGGAGGTGTTCACTGGAAGCAATGCGAAGATGACTACGACGGCGTACTCTATCGCTATTAACTAAATGATAAGGTATCGCATACCGCGTAGCACGTTACAAGGCTACTCGGGAGTACTGTCTCAGTCGTTAACGTTGAGCAGATGTAAGGACAAGCAAACGTGCAATCCGAGAAGTATTTGTAATTCAATGCGCTCACTGCAAGAAGGCTATGCCTGTCGTCCTTTATCTATCCATAAAAAATTGTCAAAGTGTTGTACAAACTGGCAAAGCGTTGCCCATGACCCAAATGCGAATACCATCGCTGCCAGTACAAGCGCTTCCAAAACGCCGATTCGCCATGCCCATGTGCGAGCCCGTTGCGCCTGTCGTGCCCCTCATTTTGCGTCCCAAGCCTCCAGGGCTGTGCCCCTCAGCCCCTCACGTCAATCTCACCAGGATATGACAGCACCCCGGTCTCGCCTTCGAAACCCGCACCAATGCTCAGAAGGTCGACCCTGAACCTCTCAGTATCGCTCTGAACCCTCGACCGAGGCTCCGCAAGCTCGTAGTCATCCATGCGCGATGCATTGCATGAACCGTCCACCGATCTCACAGACGAAGCCAGCTCATCGCCCATGACATCTTGCGCGCGATAATAACGCTGTCGCACCCAGTGGAAATAGACGGCCAGCGCGTCGCGATGACTCGGGATGCCAATGGAAGCGAGGGAGCGCCGGAACGGGAGCTTGACGGCGTAGGGATAGGCTGGGAACGGGTGGGTCAGCTGAGAGATCGAGAAAGTTGGGAAGTCCATTAGGACATGTTGCGAATATTTCGGTACGCTAAACCGAAAGAAGTATGGCGGGCTGAGCCGAGGCGCAGCTCGCTGGTGGTGTCGGAGAAGGAAAGACGTCGGAGGTGCGAACGGGACGGTAAGCTGACTTACTGTTGCGAGACATGGTCCACGATGGCGGGTATCTCGTATGGAGTTTGGATGCGGTTGGGCGTTGAGGTAAAGAAGTTGGGCGGTACTCGAGTGTAGTCAGGTGGATGAACGAACGATGTCTGAGTGAGAATGTGTTGAGTGTTCGAGTTTATGTAGTCTCTTCTCGGGATAGAGTACCAAGGTGGAATGAGTGTCGAGAGAGGATTCGATGTACAAGGCGACTATATAGTATTGATGTGCAAGGTGAGAACGAGGTTGGCAAGTGAGCAAGTCAGTATATCCGCAGAAATGAGCAAGAAGGTATTGCGCATACGCGTCCATGGCACACTTATGACTGTCACAGCGGCCGTCTTCACGACCACGTTGAAGCCTCACGACCAAGGCATATGCCCTTTCCCGATCGAGCAGCTAACAAGAGCCAAGACGTTGTCCTGGGGTAGGTTCGCCAAGGTAACCACCGGCAAAAGCGTCATAACTGCTACAAAGGGGAACTCATCTCAGCTGCGATGGCCGTGAGCCCTGCACGAAGATTGGGTAGTTTGGCGGAAGCGAGAGGAATGCGACTCCTGATAGGCGTGAGCGAGGGTCGGGCGTGGTGATGTTGCCGAGCCGCGTGTTGCGACCGTCTGGCAGCCCGTTTCAAAACTTCACCGGCCGGGCGCTGCAGGAGAAAACGCACGAGATCGGGGGGCTGAATCTTGACATCGTCGGCTGCTGCGCGTCGCCAACTCCTTTGATGTGCATAGCACGTACGTTAATGGGTCGTCGAGCAGAGAACGCGTGGGCCCTGGAGAAGAGCTCCAGCCCCGCGCTTGCCGCTGGGCCAGCGACTCGAGGCTCTCAGCGTGCGTCTGACAGCGTCACTAGTCAGGGCCGGCCAACGAAGTCTGCTTCATCCGCCCCCATTGCTATCACGGCGTCTTACCATCTCGCTTTGCGCGACTTCAAGCCAGGAGTTGGGTACACGCAAGCGCGCCAAGCGTGGTGAGTGAATTTGACAGCACGTACACACCTCAGTAAGGACAAGCAACGCCCAGGGATGGCTGACTGACAGCAGGGGCCACTTGCTCAAGCAACCCATGCTCATACTTTCTTTTTTTCTCGTACTTTGACCGTGTAACCTCAGCATTCTGCAGCTTCTGGGTCTTTCTTGGTCATCGTATGCAATCTGCACGCGCAGCCGCGTCAGGATCCCAGAGACAAAAGGCACTCGTCCCGATCGGCGGATGAAATGCCATTCCGTCTCATCGAACGAGGTATACGTAGATGCTGGGCGCGAGTAGCGCAGGCTGTAAGGCTCACCGCACTAGCCACAAGCCAGACCATAAGAGGAACAGAGTTTGCTGATCGGTGTAAGATGTGCCACAGCGTTCCTGGAGTAGCAGTGGGCCCAGGCCTAACCGGGGGAACTCTTGGGATGTCAAAAAGCCTATTCGATAACACGGGCCAGGTGCGCACGACGTGACTTCACGCTGTCGCATTCGCATGCGGCCCCCAAAAGCCAACAGCTGGGTACGCGTCGTGTTACGGCATGCGAATGCCTTCAACATTGGTAATGCTACTCGACCGAAACTTTTCCGACCTTCAGCGTGCCAGTAATATGCGATGGTATGACGAGGGTTTGTCATTCATGTCGACACTTGGGCAATGCGCACGACAGTATGCATAATCCTTCCAATCGCTTATCAAGCGAGTTGGAAAGGTAACCACCTCCATGGGCATGAGCAGAGACATATGACCGTCGATCGGGTGCGTGTGTAGTCGAGCGGGCTTGTGGGAGAATTTCTCAGCAAGATCTGACCAAGCCTCCTACTTTCCCTGCATTACAAATTGAGCAGGTGCAACCATCCGCCTGCGTCCTGCGTCCTGCGTTATCGACGTGGTGCAAAGCTGGAGATCGCTGTACCATATTTGAGATACCGAATGCACTGCGGTCAGCCGTTTTGCGAACAACGCCTCGGCCGAGTCGGCTCCTCCATCACTGACCCAGGGTAAGTACAACAAAGCGCTACAAGCGCCAGTGACGTGGAAGGGTCTGTTTTATCATCGTAAAGTTGTCGCATATACGGCAATATCAACCCAGGGTCGTCATATGTCCGGTGTCCAAATTGCGATGCGGCCATAGTCCAGGCGGCAGCAGCTGCGAGGAAACTCTGGTCCAAGACAAAACCCAGGTATGCAGCTCCCTCCATTTCTTGCACGTTTCTCGTTCTCATTCGCTCCGTGTCTATTCAGCGCATGCACGATTGTCAAAGCCTACCCGTCGCTGGCTTTGATGTGTAATACCATCCCACCCCTGCTGACCGTTTACACAAGACAGCTCCAGGAACACCGACAAATCCACTCGACCGCTGCAGCATTCGCACGTTCCTCTTTCCTATTCGCTGAATGTTTGTCAGCCCAAATGCATGCGTTCTGTACTCCATATATGCAGCAATCCTTGTCTTCAGAAGAGGTTGCTGCATGACCGGTCAGCGCGACAGAGCACCGGACAGATCTTGAAACATATACGAAGTGGAAAACTTTCTCATGTGGCTGCGCAAGCCACTGATATCCGTGCGACACGAAAGAGATCCGAATGAACGGTTGGTGCAGACTGCGGTCGTCTTGTTGAGGTTGGCAGGTGCACAGCCTCGATGCGGCTCTGCAAGCTGACTGATGGATGCACTCTGGCGAGCGACGGGACGGTGGAGTGCACGCCGCATCCACGGACGAAGGAACGGTTATTGCATGCTCTGACCAAACGGTGCAAAATGTCCATGCATCACTCCTGGGCAACGGGCGCTTTCATAATCAGTGATTTTTTATGGCCGTCGAGCACATCAGTCTAACTTCTCGTGGAGAGGCCTTGTTGCGACAGCCGCTCTAGCCATTATGCACCATTCTATCAACCTCTAGACGCGTCGAAGGCTGAACGATCTTACACCCAACACTCAAGCATCCACATTCCAAGGGTAATTCTGCTTAACCCAAATGATATCCATCTCACTCGGCTTCGTAGCGCGTTCCAGCAGCCCAAGCCCCTCGCCATGATCGTTCCAGTCGAGGTAGGCCTGGATGGGACAGTTCACACCGTTGTCATTGCAATCTGCCTTTGCATAGCCGTTACGGCTAGGATAGTGCATGACGCTCGCGAGGTCGTAGCCAGAGGCAGCTTGGATGGGCCAGCCGGGCTCCACAAAGTTCTTGATGAAAGCGACGCAGGTGCATTGGTATTTCAGGGCGCGGTACATGGATAGGCAGAGGCCGTCTTCGGTGATGCGGTCACCTTCCGCCTGACGGGCGCGGTGCCAGCACTGGGTTGGTGATGTTAGTATGCAGTATGTGTCAGTGATAGCGGTAGCCACTTACGTCTTCCCAGTCAGCAAGTTGCTTGTATTGTACTTTGATGTACTTTTCGCGGTCGTTGCGGTTGTGTTCATGCGCCATACCTTGTGATTGTTAGCATCGTCGTCTGCGGTCGCTGGTGATGTCTTACCCAGTACGTGACCAAGCTCGTGCAGAACACCGCCGAGCGTAAAGCCATCGGCGAGGCGAACCAGATTCTGCCACGGCTTTCCGTTTTGCGTCAGGCCCACAGCGGCACCCCAGCCAGCGCCGTCGGTGAATTCGATGGCCACAGTGTCATGAGGTATACCTGCGTTCCAGCCATCTCGGTATTTCTTGACGGGTGCACAGTACATTGGCTTTCCATCGCTGGTCAAGCGCTCTTTGAAGCTGATAGCGTGGCCGGAGTCTTTACCCGCAGCGCCGCCAAGATACCTAGAGTGGTCAGTTCGACACTCATCACATCTCATTATAGATGTGCTCTTGCTTACTCAACCCACTTCGCCATACCACTCTCAGTGATGTGGCGGATATTGTGGCGATCCCACTCCTGTGTGAAGCAGTATGGAATAACGACATTGTTGGTCGAGTCGCGTGGCCAACGAATTGGTCCAGGGCTCGAGCCCCAGGCGTCGGTAGCACCTTGGCCGTTCTGACCAGACATCGTCTCAAGTTCCTCGAAGTACTCCGCCCAATCAGTTACTTTAGTACCATTTTCGAAAGTGGGCGAGGGAGTGCCGCAGAAGGGACCATAGTTGGGGACTGGTTCGTTGATAGCGACTGCGACCGCAAGTGCGGCGAGTTGTAGAAG